CAGTCATGTAGATATTTTGAAACAAGGACAGCAACATGCATGAATTATTTATGTATAACTTTTATACGGCGTTTTGCAAGATTGTTGAACATGATTGCCTCGTCTCGGGTGGAACTGTGCAATAATTAATTGCTTTATCTGATAGGATCTGAGATACGTTTAATTTTAGCCGTTTCTTTTTAATTTATTTTTATTTGGATCATGGATGAATTATTTGTGATTGAACTGATATTCTATGAATCCTCTGGAATTATCGGGTCACCCGGTACGTGGTCCAGCGCCAACGGCCAAGAATGCTAAGGAATTAGGAATCGCATTTTGCTATTCCTCGAATTGCGTTCTGTTGCAAGCCGCCCGGTAACTATCCGATTTTTTATGCCCGGGTTTCGCAAATTTTGCTTCGATTTTACTTGCCGAACGTTCATGGAAGAGTTCGACTTTGTGGGAATTATACTTCGGAATTCATGAAACGGGCTCCGGTTATTAAAGTCGTAAAGTTTATTGACATCACGGTTCACAAGAGGTGAACGCAACAGCATTTCCATTATTGTAGAGTAAGAACGTTGCGCGTTCCACCACTTCCCCTTTTATTCTTCGATCGGATACAACTGCGAAGATGAAATACAATGGTTCGAAAAATAGTAGAAGCTACTATTGTTGCACACACTATTCACTTTTGAAATTGCTTATGCACCTATTAATTTCATTTTAATTCAATATAATGAGATCTATGTAACGACAGCGACGAGTTAACACTTGCTTAAATTGACTTGCTCTTTCATTTAACTTACACATAACTTCAAAAGATTTGTCCCAACGAGGACAACAAGTTCTTCTAATTTCAAAGGATTAATGGCTAAACAAACAATTCAATTATAAAGAGTTCATTTTTAACTTCGTAACTTTAAATTCAACGATTTCCGATTGATCAAAATGGCGACCAACTGTGTCCAGCAGTCAGCAGCTCACAGGTAATTTTTTGCTCGCGTGTTTAGGTTTTGCTGCAACTCGATCACTCGATCGGCTTGACAATGTTCCCATGAAAGAGTGGCCTGGGTTTGTCCTCTGAAAAGAACAAGGCTCCGGCTAGTCGTGTTTGATTGTCAGGTCACCCGGTACGTAACCCCTTCGGCAATGTCCAGTCCGCGAGCGTCAAGAAACGCAATTACCGGACGGGCAAGAAAACACATTCTGCCATTCGTCACGATCAAGCACGATCGAAACACACGAGGACAAATTCAGTAATCTGCCCGGATAGAAAAATGCACTGGAATTGTATTGGAAACGGCTACTGCGACTCCGCTGGCGAATTACCCGATCCGAACGAGTAATTCTGATGTCACATATGCACTATCCCACGACAATTTACGACATAATAATCTTCACCGTGAAAGAAATAGATCTTGCCTAGTATCATTACCGCGAAGAACTGCCGCCAATCAATTTCGCACAATTACTTTTTGTTTATGAGTAAGGGTTAATTTTGGTTAGTTTTCAAATTGGATTAACTGCAGACCAAAAGAAAAGCTCCGCTCGCTTTAATGTTGTATTGCGAATTTTACTATCAACGATTAACGACTAGATGCTAATTTTAATAATAATTTTAATAATAATTTTAATAATAATTTTAATATTAATTTTAATACTAAACTTGATACTAACATTGACGTTAACTTTAATACTGAACTTAATACTAATTTTAATTGACTTCTACAAGAAATTTAAATAATTCTACGATCCCTTAACAAAAGCAGAAAAAAAAACAAATATACATAGACCCACTGAAAAGTCATTATGTGTCTCTAATATCTAAGTCTGATATCTAACTAAAGACTACCATACTGAAATTAACGTCCCAGATAATTGACGAGATTCTGCGAAAGGAAATTCCCCGCTGTTAAACTTAACCCTAAGCCTGGCTTCCTAGTTAAGAAAGTGATCTACGTAGAAGGCGATAGTACGTCCTCGCTACCAAGTAAATGCAGCATCGCACGCACCCGAGCGAGGAACGACCGGCATCCGCAGAATGGGACTATCCTTAAGGGGACCGAGGTCAAGTTAACCCCGTGAATCCCTACTGGTACCCGTGGCGCTTTATTAACCGATGGAAACCGTCAGCCGATGATCAAAGGGGCTGGTAGGGATGCTGCCAAAGGAACTCGTTAGCATTATTTCATCTCGTTGTACCAGAGCCCCGGGCAATGACTTTGAGAACGACAAACTTGGAAGCGACGCTTCTCGCGGATCGCAACCGATGACGCAGACCTGATCCAGTGAGTTTACCATCTGAGACATTCCTTTGCCAAAGTGATCGAGTCCAGAAAATGGAAGAAACCATCATGCAAACACAGGTGCGCCAATCAAGGGCTTCACCGTTGAAATTTGAAAAATTCATGGAATGCAGCTAATCACGTTCACGTGTGAACGGATCATTTGTTACCCGCCGCTTTGCATTATCACTGAAACGTGAAATCGATATTAACCCTTTGCCCTATAACTTCTTCCACGCCTGCGCTAGCTAGTACCATTATATCGCTAATAATTCACTAGATAAAGAAGAATTATGTGTTCGTTCTATACCTACGTTTACTCCAAAGATTAACAACTGATAATGGAGACATAACATTTAATTCCGACTCAAACGAGTGTAAGAACATTTGCTATCTTCTATTTGAAGTTTTTATCATGAATTTGATAGGATACTGTTGGGCAAGAGGTTAAGTACTTACAATTTTTGCTAACGCTTTTGCATCAGGATTTCTTTGTAAATTGTATTAAATTAATTAATTGAAAAAGAATTAAATCTATCGTATGATGCTGTATCGACTGACCAGTGACCTGAGCTAAAAGTAATACGCCACAAAGTATGTTCGTTAACCCGGTCATAATTTCACGGCGTTACGAAATAATAAGTCGACGGACCCATGAAAAGTGAAGATCTGCACGCGATGTTCATCAACATTAACGCAATAGCGTCCCGTAAATTGACCATTTTGTATGGAAGAGCTAGTCCTATCGGGCATCCACGAAAAATCTATCGATCGTTCCGGCAGCCGGCGTATTTGAGCGTCTACCAGTTGAATCGCCGGACCGATGCGGCTGGCCATAAATACATATGTGCACTTTCATCGCGAAAGCGTGGCGATAGAAAAGTGTATTACCGTCCCGGAAGTAAATACGCGCCGGTTACCGTAACGCGGAGAATCGGTGCCTCGTAAAATGTTGTATTAAAGAGTTCGTAACTAAATTGCGTCGTTCGCACACTCGGGCTCCAGTCCCCGAAACCGTACGCGTTTCCTTCACCGCAGAAAGGGAAATCTCACCGCCATGCGATTTGACTGATACCGGTCAGTACCATTGCTGATTTCGCATGAGATTTTTCTGTTTCGAATAAAATACTGATTAAAAATATTAAAAACATTGAAAACGATAAATTTACTTGTCACAAGATACCTAAGCCATAAAATAATATACCACTGTGCCTTTCGTTTTTCATTTCATTTCTAGATCACTCATTTTTTCACGCTCGCCGATTTAAAATAATATATCAGCTTACCCCAAACAGACAACGTCAAAGAAAAGTATTTACAGACTTATAGTTACACAATGCTTTATTTATCTAGATAGAAATTTCAAAAATTTGAAATAACGAACAAGAATTCGCAATGTTAATACGGGAATCAATTTCATCGGAACGATTTCCATTGTTACGAAGAATACACCCATAATAACTTCTATTGCATTTTTTTCCTTCTTGTCGACCTTGATTCATTAACGACTAATCAGAAACACAGTATGATTACAAAAAGGCGAGTCTGACTTCGACCGAATCGAATTTTTGCCGACCAAATTACGTAAGACTGTTCTGAACCGCGGAATCGCCACCGGACTGTATGACAATGCGGTTTTTTTAGACTGCCAATTATTTTTAGAAAGGAGCCATAATACCTTTAATAACATCCCGCTGAAAAGTTTTATGCCGCGGAATCCGGCAGCGCTTAGTAGACTCCAAGAAAGCCGAATGCGGTTCTTACGCATGATTTATCGCCGTTCTTGGAGATCGCTATTGATACTCGCGGGGAACTATCGGTGAACGATGGGGAGGAAGTTTTTTATTTGATGTTCGACGATTGCCTGTTCGTACATTGACACATTACATGTTTTCACTAAAACTAGTTGAATTCCGATAAAATAGCGTTTCCAATATTTTTGTCATTTACTTAAAAGAAGATATACAGTGTATCTTTGCAGTTATTAACACATTTCTGATCGCATATAATAGCCCGAAGTCTATGGCTGAATACTGCAAGGGTTTGCTATTCAAATATCCATGAATATGAAAAATACTCATATAGTTTTATTCATATAGATTCTATACGAATACTATAGAATTATGTTTCGATACTTCTTTACAGATTTTGGAAATGATTTAGTAACCAATATTCTTCTAAAAAAGTTAAATATTGCGTAAGATTACGTTATTGGTATTCAGCTGAGGAATTTAAAATAATGTAGGACTACGTTACCGGTTCCGAATGTGTTAATAAAAGGAAATAATGGAACTTACAAAAAAAGGGTAGACAGTATGCGATAAAGTGACAGTTAAAGTCACAGTATATATGTGAATCTATACCTGCGTATAGAATAATTGAAACAATATATGTAATAATAATAGCCAAGATGACCACTTTACCATTAAGAATCACTAAGACAGATGATATATGATCATGCAAAAAAGTTAAAATTCATATTTTTAATTTTGAATAGTTATGGACATTACTTAAACAATCAAGAGTTTATTATGTAGTAATAGATAATTAGTTTGTTCGTAATGATCTTTGAAATGACTCAGATTGATATCTGGGTACAAAATCATTTAAGTAGAGTATTTTACATGTTTATTTATTTTACATACTAATTTTTAATGATTCGTGATTCATTTCAATTCCCCTGATGGGTGGCGCCATCGATGGTAAAATGCTCAACCTGATGAAGAAATTTCTCTGTAAAGCTGTGGTTATATGAACTCACAAGTTGCCACTCGTATATATTTAAATGGAAAGGATTTGAAAATCTTCAAACAGTCTTCTTTAATTTATTGAATTTAGAATGAGTTTACTCAATAGAAAAAATTTAGTAATATTTTTCTGAAAAAAAGTTACCGTAATCATATCCTATATTGGCTTATATCGATTAATATTTGACTCCAACATGAGTGTACAAAGTGTACTCCTTTGTGAAACATAACCGTGTAACTCATATTTTAAATCTGCAATGTGTTCAAAAATGTAATTTTGATAATTTTCTGAATTACAATATAAACGGTATGTCGATATTTAGTATAACAACATATAAATCTATGGAATTTGTGAACATATTACACAAATTTAAGAAGGTATTTCTGTTAAATGTTGAAACAAAAATTCTTTATAAGCGGTATGTTCATGATAAACAATTGAATAAAATACCGAAAAAAGGACCCTGGAATGTATTATTCTTTGGCACGGACGAATTTTCAGTAGAAAGTTTTAAAATGTTATTTAATAAATAGTAAGCGATGATTGTTTGTGTAAAATTGAATTCTCTGATCTCTTTGTTTATATGGTTTTTTAATAATAATTTTTTATTTAGTGAATCCAATATTGTGCAGCGATTGGAGGTAGTTACACGGAATACAGTAAAAGAAAATGCACTTAGAATGTATGCAAAAGAGAAGGGAATTGTTATAAACAATTGGCCACTTGATATCGATCTGTCTAACTTTCACATTGGAATAGTTGTATCATTTGGTTATTTAATTCCATCTAATGTTATAAAATCATTTCCACTGTAAATTATTTTCTATTTATATTTACATAGTACATAATTTATAATATATGATAACATAAATATACTTTTTGTTACAAATATTATATAGTGGCATGATAAATGTTCATGGTAGCTTATTACCAAAATGGAGAGGAGCAGCGCCAATAACTTATACATTAATGAACGGTGATCGTCAAACTGGTGTAACAATAATGAATATAAAACCAAAGAAGTAAATTTTTTTTGTATGTTTGAATAATTTTATAATTTCTTCACTGTAACATAAATAAACAGATGAATTTGTTTTATTAAATGATCAATGAAAAAATGTGATTTCAGGTTTGATATAGGAGAAATAGTTCTGCAAAAAGAAATTAATATAAGCGAGCATGAAACATTACCTGAGTTGTACATTAAGTTATCAAAACTTGGAGCAGATCTTCTAGCAAAAGTTATCGATGATCTACCACACATATTAAAATCTGTGAAGCCTCAAAATGAAGCTAATGCAACATATGGTAAACACACATTTTATGTGTTTAATTTGTTCAATTAATTAATAAAATACATGCTATAAATCATTAGCTTACATTACACATTTCAGCGCCAAAAATAACATCAAAAATAGCTTCAGTGAAATGGGATGAAATGTCTGCAACAAATGTGTATAATTTACATCGTGCCCTTTTAGGATTATATCCATTGTCTACAAGATTAATAGATACACCAGTAAAATTACATGACATTAAAATAGCTGAAAAATCAATTGCAGTAAAACTTAAAGAAGAAAAACCAGGTAAGAGTACTATTTCTTTGTTTGTTAATGTATGATAGGGAATTAAAAAATTATGAATAAAATATTCAAGTTTTAATATCTACAGTTATTAAAAGATTATATCTTTACAGGAGTTGCAATGTATGATAATGTAAACAATACATTAGTCATAAAGTGTAAAGGAGATGATTGCATTTCTGTAAAGAATATAGCTGTTAAAGGTAAATCTCGCATTAGCGCACAAAGCTTTAACAATGGTTACATAAAAGGTAAAAGTCAAAAAAAGATTTTGTTTTCTTGATAAATGATTCATTTTGAATTCAGTGATTAAATATACTTGTAAAAAATAAATTAAAAAATGAGAGAATTTATATGTTAAAAGTAATTTAATATTAAAGAATGTTTTTAATTTAACTAAGTTTCAAATGAAATGTGAAGATACTCATATAAATATTTAAAAAATGTTTAATATCTTTCTTACCTTCAGAGACAATGTATACCAAAAGAAAAACTACAAAAAGAAAAGAAGTCAATTGAAAATAAATAGTGAAAACTTTATTAACAGAAAACAGAAGTTCTAATTCAGATGTAAAAATAAAATTTACAGTATGTATTTGCAAGAAACTTTGTTTAATTGGAGGAGAAATTATATCTATATTCTGTATATTTTACAAAAAACATAATGACATTCAATGTCTTAATTTATTTAAACGTAGAATTATAGCTGCAGACATAAAATTGTTGATATTAAGTCTCAGTTTCAGAGGCCTGAAATAAAAGAAATATTTTTACTATTACAGATTCTTACTTTTATTGAATTGATTTAGCTTTAATGTATTCCTAGTGACAATTTCAGACCAAAGTTAAAATTATCCATAAATAAGTTTTAAGCTAATTTGTTACTTTGGCTTGCTTCAAAATTATATTCAGTGTAGTTGTATTATCCATCATTTACGATGAATTGATCCCATTTTCTTATAAAAGTGAGATTAAAATTTGTTTCGTATTAATAACTAATTGCCTTTCGATATTTCGTAAACGGAACGTTGTACTCGATTATTCAATAAATAAAGATGACACAGCTCTTACTGAAAATAATTAGTTAATATTAGCAACTAGTTATTAATAAGATTGTTCTACGTTTAAGATTATTCAGAGAACTGAAGATTTACACGTGAATGAACACGAAAGTACTTTATATTTTGTTACGTACTCATTGATCTTTAATATTAAAGGTCACATTTGTAATCGCCTTTTCTTACAAATGAACATCAGTTATAATTTTATTTTTCTTGTTTTAACCAAATAAAAAGTACCACTGTTTAATTTCTGCAATAAATGCAAATAGAAAATTATAGTTAACTTACACTAGGATCGCAGTCTGCGCAATGCCACGAGTAGCCTCTTCGTTTGGGCGATTTTTTAACTGGTGGATCGAGACAGGTGAAGTGGTAGCATTTTTTACATTCATCACACCTAACATACAGAAAGTAACATTGTCACAACTATGATACATATGCTTAACAGTTCTAAAATATATTCATGTTTACTAACATGACGAGATTCTGACTGGTGCCAGGCATATCACAGACATTGCAATGAGTTAAAAGGTCTGTATCTTTTCCTCTCTTTCCATTTCCCGTAGACGCCCTGTTACTTGTATTATTGGCAGTTGCATTTGCAGTAATTGGCGTAGGAGTTGAAACTACAGGTGGAGCAGGCGGGGGTGGTAATTTTGGAAGTGGTGGAGACGTAATTTCAGTACTAGTAGATGTTGCAACGAACATTTGTGGGCTTGATTCAGAAGCTATTTCACCCTCTGGTCTTGGAATTGGCTTTATCTTTTCAATGGGACAATTATAAATTAATAATTTTCCATATGAGATAGAAGAAGTGTATAAAATGATGTTGCACTGTCGTAAGATTTATAAAGTTGTACCTTTATTGTTATTCTTCTATGGACTTCTGGTTGGCTCTGACCTTCTGGATTTTCGACATCAAGACTTTTCCTTTTATGTTTTCGTTTTCTTTGTTTCACCCCCGTAATTGGATCAGGAGTATACCTTTTATGTTTCTCCCTAACAGAAAAGTAAAAAAATTGTATATTTTACGTATACCAACAAAGGTGAATTACGAACCTTCTTCTTTTCTTTGCACTCCTTTGTGAAACCGATTCTGTACCATCTGCCGAAGCTACCATGTACTCAGGTGATCCTTCCCTCGTTGCTATTGTTACATTATTAATGGGTTGCTGATTGTATACAGGTTCTGCAGATTGAATAGGAGTTGAAGATGGAGGTTGCGGACCGACTGGCTTTATAGTCACCTGCATACATTCCAGAATAAGTTTAAAATACGTTAACAAAAGATGAATCTAATGACAGTTTAGCAATTACTTTTGGCGTCGTAGGTGTATCAGGAGCTGTGACATTTGTTACACTACTAAGGCTACCGGAAGAATTTTTCGAAGTGCTTGGCGTTGTTGGTGTTGTAGGCACTTGCATCTCTTGTGGTGGTGTTGGGGTTGGTGTTGATGTTAAGTTAGAATCATCTTTACAATGCCTCAATTTACGCGGAGCCGACGTGTCAACACGCTCTATCTCTGATCCAGAAGATTCTTTATCGCATTCAGAACATTGCCTATATTATGCAACATATCGAACATATTTAAAATGTAGTGCAACGATATACCAGTAAAATGTATTAGAAATACATATAATACATTCATGTACATACCATCCCATAAGTTTCGTTTTTTTAGGCATACGTGACAAAGGTGGACTAAGACAAGATAAATGGTAATGAAGATGACACGTATCGCATTTTGCAAGGAGATGCTGGTTTGTGGACCTTCTGCATATTCCACATTGATGCCTTAATGTCAATTCGCCTTTATGATTTTGATCTTGCGCTTGACTACTTAACACTCTACCTTCACGTATCCCTTCTGCTCCTTTACCAACTGGTAAAGGAAATCCTACACCCATCTTTAAGGCAGCCGCAGTCGGTACACCTAAACCTGTACCTATTAAAAAATACGATAAATTTGTACCATTTAAATTCAATTTCAAGTATAAATTTACCTAGAGTTGGTGTTATCCTTGGCTTTGATAAGTCAGCTATTTGTGGTAAAGCTTTTCCATATCCGCTATTTTGAAGAACCTGATGATACATTTCAATCTTCTCTTTTAATGTTACATTCACGCGAATTTGTTCCTCGTTGTCTTTCATTACTTCATCATACTTTCTATCTAACCTTTGTTGTTCATTCAATAATTGCGAATTAACGTCAAGGAGTTCTTGCAACCTCCTTTTCATGGACGTTACTCGTAGGTTACGATCTAGATAATAACCGATAAACTCAACACTGAAAGCAGGAGGTATATGCCATTTTTTTCTAACATCAACTAAAGCTACAAGTTGTGCCTCCTGAGCTTCTAATGCAGCTGTATCTACACCCATTAATTCTGCTTTCCTTGCTAGTTGCCGACAAGCTGAAGCAGATGTAGTTAATAACCGAGGCATTTTTTGAGTTGGTACTGAAAATAATACATACATTTTTCGTGACATTTGATGCGGTTATTGAATTTAATATAAAATAACATACCCCATGGTGGTGGTCGAGACGCTTTATGAGCTAAATATTTATGCCTATGTTTTGCTAATTTTCTTTGAATTCTACGCTGTTCTTCAGTATCTAAGTGATTAGGTTGTTTCAACAACTGTTGACGGTATTGTGCTCGTAGCTGTAAAGCTAACCAATTACGTCTACGTCTACGAACAAGAGTTTTATCGGAATGAAGTTTACAGTGTGCATAGAATGGATCAGCCTGATCAACTTCTTCGCTATGAGCTTCGGATAATAAACCTTCTCTTTGTGCACTACAAAAAATAGTACTGTTAGTGTTTTGTTAAATTAATTTATTCCGTAAAATTGTATATGAACTAATTATATGTAAAGTAACTTCTCTTACCACGTAACATGAAAATACGTATGACACATTCCTGCATCACATTCTATGCATACCCCAGTACGAGCATAACGTGCATCTTCGCATAGAGAGCACTGCTTTGCTCCCCATTTACTATATGCCATTTCAAAAAGAGTTACACTTGATAAACGATCAACCTAGAGTAATTGCAGATATATATAAACATAAATATTTTAAACCATTTTGGATTTATGTATAATAGAAATAAAAACCTTCCATACTTCTCCAAAAGCAACACCGGGTACATAAAGTGCACATACTAAATGGACCCATTTGCCTACATCAGTCTCTTTAAAAATTCCACCTTTGTTTGGACAAAGTTCACAAGGAGGATCCTCAATGCCTGCACTGCAAGCTTCACAAAACCATGGTGCTGATTGACATAAAGAATCAGTACTTGAAAAACTTTCTACATCAGATACACCGTAACATCCTAAAATAGTTTTAATCGTAATATTATTTTGTCTCTACTTGTAATAGCAAGAACGACGAAGCCCAAAGTTTTGGAAATTACAGATTAAAATGCATAATTCACATTTTTTACCTTCATGTACACTAACACCACATCCATCACACTCAACAATTTCATTAATATCATCACTTCTGTCTCCTAAGCAACCACAACAAATTAACATTTTATTTAATTTGTCTTCTAAAGGACCCCCTTTTAATGCTTGCTGACGAGCTTGTTCAATTACATCCCCTACTGTCAAATTAGGATTCTCTTTCCTATTGAGTAGTGGATCATCCAAAGAATCATCAGATTCTTCAGATGCATCTTCTTCCTCTTTCATAGAGATGAAAAAATATTTTATTAGCTTAAAGGACACATTATTGTACAGTAAGGTTATTATTTTTAATTTTACCTTTCCCAATGTCGTTAGAGTCTTCTGAATCATCATCAGATTCCTCACAATGATCTTCAATTCTAAAATCGCTATCATCAGAACTCTCACCTAAATCAAAATCAAGCAGAGGTGCTGTTCCTATAGGCTTGACTCTCCTCTTCTTTGGATCTCTTTCAACTGAAAAAAAATGTAGATCACAATTTCTGGATGAAATAATTCTTCAAAAATATTATTAAGAAAAATTAATATATTGAAATATTTTCTAATATGTAATCCTCTTGTTCAAAAAAGTACAAATTACTGAAAGTATATAAAAATTTAATGCTAGGTTATGTAAGTATTTTATTTGCAATAAGTACATACAAAAGCTTGTCATATTACTCTTATATTGACACTTCTATTCTATTTCAATACGGTTATTTTGTACTCTTTTATCTATTCCCACTTATTTTTTCCGACAGTAGTTCTGACACTTCATGTATAGCTATATAGATTTTGAATGTCTCCCACTACTCATTGAAGTCAACGAGTCGTTGCTTCATAAAATACTGACATTCGCGTAACATACGATGCCGGCTACATGAATTAGGTTAATTTTATGTATCCTATATTCATTATATTTTGCATCATCAATTAAAGGATCGTTAATTGATCGAATACTCTTGACATTACTTTTGATAAATACTGCGTTAACATACAATTATTGAAAAAATATTATGCACATGGTAGGTAGTATCATTTTACGTTAGTACTGAATTTGATAAAAATATATCAAATATTTTATTTTTTGTACACTTACTAATAAAACGTAATGTTTATTTCTCAACGTTTTGTAAATTTTTTTCTATAAAATCTAATTTAAAAGTATAATACCTTTATTTCATTTTTTTCATAATTTGTATTTGTTCGTTTATTATATTTGTTATATTTATATTTGTTCATTTATTTCATGCAAAAACTTAAACCTTTAATATTAGGTGGAAAGAAAATTTATTTATATATTACATATTATGTCTTATAGTTAGTAATAGAACAATACAAACATGATATTCATTTAAAATAAAATATTTTTAACTTACTCATTGTTTTGTATAAAAATCCTACGTCATCGTCTTGAGACATTTTTCACTGAGCATACAAATTTTTTTGAGTTCACAATAAAGAATTTTTAATACTTCTTCACATATATTACTTTTAATATACAAAAATTAAAACAAATCTTACTGTACACATAAACAATACAACATACGCAGTATTTTGTATAAATATTTATGAGTTTTTAATTATTCAAATACTTAATTACAAAAATCTAGAACAAACTTCCTTTGCTAGTACATATTATCCTTCTGACGCCGTCGTGTTTCTACTCGAATCAGTAACAAATCGCCATGTTGAATTTCTCAAAATCCTTTCGCGGGAAGTACAATCGATATTTACCAAATTATTCACTTAAAATAAAGTCATTCTGTATATACTTACAAAGTGAATATTATCTTTTAAAATACAATTATATTAACTTTTATGTTTTTGACCTATTTTAATAATTGAATGCATAGAAAATGTATAAAAATGATTAAGGAACATGAAATGATTAAGACATCCAATATGGATTAATCAGTCATAGATACACAAAATTACTAATAACGTAAGAATTACGAAATTATCAGAAAATTAAGTTTAGCAGTAGTTTTATAGAAATTTCAGGACATTATCATTGCAGCTTTTAATGGTGACTATAATCAAAAGAAATGCTATGCAAGAATAAAATTAGAATTTTGTTTCATCTTGAATTATATATATGACAATTCCATATTTTATTCTAATAACTTTTTAAAAGTTAAATATTTGAATCAGCTTGTTCCATAATTTTTAATCTTCCTGCGTGTTCCTGTTAAGTATGTACTTACCTCAGATCTAGTAAAAAAATATAAATTATTCGTGTATTTATATTAAAAGAATCTCAAAGCAATTGTATAACATTAAAATTAATTATCCTCAAAAAAATAATTACAGTAATTAAAATTATTTGAAAATTAAGACACAAAATGTTCGTAAACTAAAATGACCAATTTCGATATTAGATGCGTAGTTGTTTCATGTGTTTCTTTATATACGTAGTTACGATAAACCTCAAAACTTGTATGATAATAATAAAATAATCACGAGAAAATTATTGTCACATTACAATGCGTTTTGTTATAACTTTTGTATTTTTAATTCCCACGGTATTTGATACAAATATCCAAAATGACAAAAATAAAGACTATCGGAAACAGGTTACAAAGAAGCGCTACAAAGAGAAAGCAAAGATCAAGGATACATTTGATAATGTGCAATTTAAATCAAATGTTATAAATGCTGGCGAAACATTAGTAGAAGTACATGTTGAATATGAGCTTTTGCCAGGTTATACTTTTAAATTTGATTGCCGTTGTTGGAAAACTATCGCGAAGGTATACGGTTTTGAACATGTTTGCTACTATTTTATTTTATGGATAAAATTTATTAGTAGAATTATTAGGCTATAAACCATTTATACAAATCGTTTGAAATAATTTGAACACGTTGACCGTAATTATGTAGATATATACAGAAAATGATTCCTGTTTAAGACCTATATTATGTCCAGTTCAAAAAAATCATATTTGGGTTGTATTTTCCGTTCACCACGTGGTTAATCTAAATGAAATACAATTACAAAAGTTTTTTAATTACGTTATTACATATCAAATTTTTTCTGGAAAAAAAAATTCTGTGAAAGGTTTGTTACAATTAATAGATATTAATAGAATATCTATAAAATAGATATTAATAGATATTATAATAAAATTATTTATAAAATTAATTCATTTCCTACAAATTTTATTTACGAATTATTATTTTAAATTGAAAAGTATATAATATGTAAGTTTTATATTAATTTATTGAGTATTCATGAAAGAAAGTTATTAATAATATTAAATAATGTACAGGGCCAAAAAAGATAAAGTGAAACAGTTTCATCTAAATGTTGAATCCATTAGTATTCAACAAAACCACTTCCTTGAACTATATTCTTATGAATTGCATTCAATTAAAAGATCAGAATTCTTTTGAGAATTGATTTGACCTTTTGCATTTTTTGTTATGATAATCATCTTATATATCTTATATATAATTGCATTCAATTAAAAGATCAGTATTCTTTTGAGAATTGATTTGACCTTTTGCATTTTTTGTTATGATAATCATCTTATATAGTTTCCAAATGTTTACTTTACATTTGAAATCGTTTTTATAAATTTTCATGCTTGCTTATATACAGGGGCACTATATTTTTGAGTTTCCTACTCTTAATAATGTTCTTGATTTATGGTTTGATAAACAAACTTATTTTTAGATATGGATATAATTACTTGTTATACCAGAATATCCCAAATACCACACATTTCATCTACTTTCATTTATACACAATGTAATAAAATTTTATCTGATAAAGAGTTACGAAGGAAATTGAATCCTATATCTATTAAGCTAGAACAAATGTCAAATTTTCCAGACACTATAGTAACTCAAAGTGGCTTTGATTATATTTATGCAAAAATTATGTTGATAAAATAATTACTACACCATTTTATGTTCCTGCTAAGACAATATACTTTGAATTTATAAAGTGTTTTCTGAATGAAGAATTTCAAGCAGAAGAATTAGTCAGTTTTTTGGGAACAAAACTTCTTTCTTTTCAAGTAATAGTTATGCTTTTTCTTAAGAATTATACATACGTAACTAACTAAAGTCATAAATTAGATAATCGGCATAAGAAGTAAAAATGCTGCCAAGTCTTTAATTTCAACACCAAAGAATTTGAATGAATCAGAAATGCTTGAAAAAGATGTTGTACTTGGCTTTGAATCATTTGATGTATCGGATCTTTTAAGAGGACTATTGCAAATCAGATTAATAGGAAATTTATCTCAACCTAATAATATGCATTACACAAATATAAATGGTGGCAATGATGAAAATTCTCTAAAGAATTCTCCTCTCACTAATGATATTTTAATATTGTATGGAACTAGTATGAAGATCAAAATCCATTTAGCATATGATCTAGAATTTGTACATTATACAGTTCATCAGCATGTTCATATATGTAATAGAATCTTTTTAATTTTAAACGATTATAATATAGCTAATAATATTTTAGCAGATATATCTTCTCACAACTCTAACTTATTTTGCAATTTTCAATCATTGGATGAAGATAATGATTTAAAGGTAAACATTATTGATACCAACAATAATTTCAGATGAAGTTTGTCATTACATTGCAACAATATGAAGATATGCTTCCAATATATAAATACCAGTAATAATGAATAAAACTTATAATATAGGTGGAAGAAACAATCAAAAACATTGTAACTGGTTTTGCTATTGATTGCTATGATAAATATTACATTTTTCTCGAAGGTTTAGTTAAAGGATATTTATTAAAAATATGGGAAAAAGTAGCCAAACTTGAAATTCAAAATGGCTATGTTTATTATAATAGCACCTGTGTATTTCTCACAAGACTCTGAAAATTTCATACCTGTAGGTGGTATTCTTAAACTGAAGCTAAGGTAATCTAAATAAATTAATATATTAAGAATGTGACATAATCTTTGGATTTATTAATTATTCTCAAAAATGAGCCCTTGGAAATACAACTGCAAAAACATAGTTTATACATTGGTGAAACAGGAAAAACTCAATGAGCAAATATAATGAGAACAGTAGGATTAATGAAATTGACAACAACTATAAAATCTTTATCTCAAAGATGTTTATTTCCAAATTCAAATGCAGTAATAACTGTTCTTAATGAAGTTAACAATCTTTATTTTAAAAATTCAATTATAATGGACTATACATTAAAGTTTAATGATTAAACACTAATGTTAAAACAAATAAATTAATATATTATACATTACTGATATTAATTGTTATAAAAAAATGGTCGATTTCCTTATTGAATTGCTCAATAAGAATATTTTTCATCAGGATTAATTTTAACTATAATATTGTTATTCAGGCCGAGTTATTAAAGGTTAAAATCATGGGTATTTAAATTACAATTAAAATATGCAAATTTAGTAATCAACAAATAGTGATTTTTAATTGTTTTGAAATAATGAAAGCAATTTTGGAAAACTTATATCTGTCTTTATGCTTACAAAATCGAGTTTGCGTTTCACAATCGGAAAGCAACTAACCAATATGTTTTGTTTTACTTCACTTTATTATTAACAGATTTTGGCAGTTGTACAAATTTTATTTATTAATTATAAATATTAAATCAATATTGAGTTTCAGAACTTTTAATAATAATAAAAATAGTTACAGTGATATCTGTTTTAAATTTCACTAAAATCCGTACGATTAAATTTTCAGGACTCATCTCCACTCTTGTCCCACTAGTCAGTCTCTTAAACTCGACGACTCTCATCTCAGTAGGCAATGATAGAGAATGCATCAATGAAAAGAAAGGAAATAAACACATCAATAAGATGCCGCGACTGTGAAAAGTAAACATCCAATGAAGAAAATTTCATTTTTCGTCATTTTAATCCTATTTTTATAATTGTTGCACCAGTAGATAATTGAAACTGTACCAACTAAAATGAGCCCAGACAAGACACAAATCGGACTAATTTTACCGGTTTAATACGAATAACAAAACTAAATATATGAATGCTTCAAATTGATAAAAGTAGTCCAATTTGCGTCGTGTTTGGATTCATTTTAATTGGGAGAATCTTAGCAACCCATTAGTGTTACATTTACGAAGGTAAGGTGAAAATTACTGAAAATGAAATTTCGTCTTTTGTATATTTATTTTTGTTCAATTGCGGTATAGCTTTGATTGTGGATCTCGACCGTCGCTGCTCGACGTACTATGTCTATCTCGCTTGCGCTTGTTATTGTATACATATATAAATTTATATATTCTATAATATCCGTTCCCTCACTTCGTCGAGTCGTGCTCGAATTCTTAGAAGACAAACTGTACCTCCTGCCCGTAAAGATTTCATTACTAACTCCTGAGCTTTGTGGAATTTAAACGAATATTACTATAATAACAGGAATTTTTATTAATATAAAAAATTATTCATTATTTACCTTATGTTCAAATAAACAAAAAAACGTTTACAATAGTTCCTCGGTAGTATAGCAGTCAGTATTCCAAGCCTTAATAGCACACAAGAATTAATTTAAAATAATGACGGCATTCCACAAAACTAAATAGATTAAGATAAATATAAGATTAATATTCGCTTATGTATCAATAAATAAATTGCAAACAATGTTTCTTCCTCGATAGCATAGTGGTCAGTATCCCACCCTCTATACTTCAGAAAAGCCATGGTAACAGGATATACCCCACCAGAGTCCTTCATCTATCTCGATAGTGAAGGATACATACAAAATTCAGAGAATGTACCAATTATTTACCATGTACACAGAAGAACTTTTGACAAACATATTACATACAACAAGAATATCAGATTCAATGACCCAGACATGCGTTACAACTATAACTTATCTAATGTAGATAAAAGAGACAAACACAGACAGAACATCAACAGATATTGGTGGTTGTAACCTTATGAAATGTATGCCATTCATATTAACCATAGAAACAATTGTAAACTTTAAATAATCAATGCATATTTCCCATCACCCGAAAACTCCTCGGTAGTATAGTGGTCAGTATCCCCGCCTGTCACGCGGGAGACCGGGGTTCGATTCCCCGCCGGGGAGATAAATTAATTTTTGCCCGTTTTAGAAGCATATAACCTAATTTTGCATTCACCCAGACCTCGTGTTTTGTTCTATTCTACAGCGATAATAGTCTCTGAAACATTCATCCTTTCTTTCCTTCTACCCAATCTCAAACCGACTGTATAGTTCACCTGTGCCACTTCTATACACATTAATCTGTTAGAATATAAGTAACCAACTTGTAAATACCACCTGTAGCATTAAGTGCAGTTCCCATGTATATAGCGACCAGACTGTGCGTGCTCAATGTTTGAACCTTAGATCTCTGTAAATAATCCCATATTTTTCTGTTATCCGTTTTTTGTATGTTTAAGTTTATTGTACTATTTTGTAAATATTATTTATCGGCACAGTAAACATACTGTTACAAAAAAAAGTGGTCAGTATCCCCACTTGTCACGCGCGAGAACGGGGTTCGATTCCCCGTCGGGGAGTAAGCTATTTTTTTTGTAGCTATTAGTCTTTTATACTCTAATTAGCCCTTAAGTTTACACTAAGTTCTCCTTTTTATGTACACACCTAAAGCTAGTCTGCAACCAAGTTCCTACAAACTGAATGAGTTAGATAAGATCTGTAATCCTAACCCATAGATTGTAAGGATAGTTTTCGTGGCTTTCTGTACAAATAATATAACCTCAACATATCGTATGTAAACTTAGTAATAAACAAATATAGTACCAATAGTAATTGTTAAGATTACGCGTGTTCTGTAGACAAAACCTTTGATCTAGTTTTATATTTTACTGTTATACTTTTATGCGTTTTAAGTTTATTGTACTCTTCGTAAATACTGTTAATTACTGTAGAAGACAGAGAGATGGAGGAACAAATGTGATAGTAGTTGAATGCACCCAAAAAGCCAGGATTATATTCACTGAATATATTTAAACTATAACTGAATCGAATCGAATATCGGAAACACAGAAGCGGCTACTTAGTTTTACGTACGACTGTTCACGTTGACGACAAATTTTCAACTCTCTGAATCGAGGAAAAGTCTCTAGGGCTAAGATCTAAACAAAGACCCCTCCTTCCCAAATTTTCTTCAGGGCCTGCAACGGTCTTTCCCTCCATGCAGGCCCTAATTTATGACCTGCCCTATTGTACTGAATTGAAGTGTCAGGCAGGTAGAAGATCGAGTGAAGATCGCTCGATCAACTCATATTCCTCAAGTTACTTAACAAATAGATATCTGCATTACACATTTTCAAATTAATTCCAGGTTTATTTTGTAAATATACACTGTTATTCGCTCATTATGGATGTCATTAAATCTACTTATTATTTCTTTTATATATCTTTAATCGAACGATTTAACTCACTTTTATAAATAAATTTTACTAAAATAAATATAGGTATATACTGACAACGATGTCAATCTGACAGGGATTCCGTATTTCATTTCAAGTATCCTTGGAAAACTTATTACGTGTTTTTTAGGATACCTAAGTCGTTCTTATTGTAACGTTTAGGAACTGTATTAGACACTTTTTTTATGCCTCATTCAGTGTTAAATCAAATTACTGTAATTATTAAATTTCTACATAAATAAATTACAGAAATTTGAATGCATTGAATAGCAGATTCGAAATAAATCTGTGCCTAAAATTTGTTGTCGCTGCTAGTAGTCGGAGCGTTTTGTTGTAGGTGGCGCCATATATTTCTTTAATTAATGCTATCGAAATATTTTCTTCGCTTATTTGACTCCCAGATGGCTGTAGTGTTTGAGTAGCTGTAGTGAATGATTAATTTTTACATGATTTAATTCTTGAACAACATCTTTATTTAAAAAATTGCACAAATATGGACTCCGCTAAAGATGACGAGGATTTTTGGAACAGCAGCGAGAAACGATTCTTTTCTTTTGGGAACAATGAGGTTGATATGAGTACTAGATTGTATTACTACTTCTTTTACATGTTTTTGATAATGTAAACTGAATTAAAATAGGTGGACCAGTTATTGGGTGTCAAGATTAACAACTCAATGTCAGAAAGATCATTAAAGGATACGAATGATTATCGGTCATTGAAACCTGTATTGTCTGTGATATCGGTTAAAACACTTTCTTGCAGTATGTTAGTAAACTAACAAATCATAGTAATAGATGTGATATAAAAACTACATAAAATATTTTATGTTCCATAGTTTTGGCAAAAGACAATTTACAGAATCCTCAATCTGAAACAACCAATCAACAGTCAAACAAGTCACAAAAATTTAAATCTGAAACACCTATTGAGCAACCAGACCATACAGTTAAAAAAATTTTACTTGGTCAATCGTTTTCATTGGAACCTTATAAATCACTTGCTAGTAAAACTGCATTGTTAGATGCAGCTATTTCAAGTGGAGATGGAAATGCAATTTTAATAGTAATTGTTTTGTCCTTGTGTATTTTTAATGTAAATACAATCAAGTTATATAGTTTATAGATTTAAATTAATGTTTTAGATCATTCTGTTTCTGACGAAAAGTCTTAAAAGATCTTTGGTCGATAGAATATTGGCAGAAAGGCCAGATGCTGTAAATGTATATATTCGATATTTATCCACAAGATTACAAGTAAATGAGATTACAGACATTTTAACGTATGTATAAGTAGATATTTTTCTAGGTAACATGCTTTCATCTTTTTATCGATCAACACTTTTTGTAGCATGCTAGGACAGTCAGTGGATGCTGCTGTAAGTTTCCATGGATTACAAATTAGGTAACAAAGGTACTATATTACTGTTTCATTTTAGATGAAAACATTACATATTATTATAAAAAATACTTCCGATCCTAATAAACTGGTAAACAAACTTAGAAATATCTATAAAACTCAGTTTTCAACCCTAATTGACTGTAGAGAAGCTTCATTTGTCCAGTCCTACATTAAGTTACTGGGTAAGTAATTTTTTGCTTGAAGTGTTAAATGATTTCAGTAATTAATAAAAACGTATTAATATGTCAATAGAATGGCAAATCACAGTAAAAAAGCTAGATGGAAATGAAGACTTAGAAGTAAATGCATCTGTTCTTGAAAGTTTAAGGCATGTTTATAAAGACCACAGAAGTTTGCCAGAAGGTACTTTAATGTCTCCCCAAATATTGTCCCAAGTACATGATATATCTCCCAGACAATATCAAAAAGTTGCATTGGAAGTTAAAGCATCAGCTGGTGAATGGGATGATGTGGATGAACTCTTCTTAACGAAGGTAATATATCATTCTTTGTGTTTTCTAACAATGTGTTTGTAACCATAGTTCTAATTTATAAAATATTATTTATTAGGGTTGGCTGAAAAGTAAAAAATTTCAACTATACTTACCAATCGAAGATGTATTAAAAATATTGCATAAAAACAATGCATCTCTTCATATTCTTGAAAAATATTTAAAATATGTCGATAATATAGAAAAAAGACTAGAACTAGCTAAAAACATGCATTGCTATAAAGCAGCAATCAATGCAAGTACCAAAGTACTTAATTATCTACAACTAATGAAATTCATATAGTAATTATATTAATTATTTTATTTTTTAGATATTTGTACAGCAAGGAGATCGAGCCGGATTAATAGAATACACGACTAAATTACAGCCACAGTCAGCGGAATATTTCTATGCTGAAAGTGTACTGTATTTGCCAACAGCTAAATGGAAAAATTAAACGTCATGAATTTTTTTTAGGAAGTTATAACATCAAGTTTCTGTATCATATCTTTAGTATATGTATGAGTGAATTACTTTTTTATTATAAAAATTTAAAAAATATTCGTTAAATCTAATAAAAATTGTAATAAATTTCGTTTGAAAACTTTTTTGAAACCGTTTGTAAAAAAATGATTAATTTTTTATGTTCAAAAGTCTCTTTGTATTCAAACACTACTATATTAAAATACTTATACGTTAACAACACATTTTTAATATTAATTTTTTATATTTTATTGTTTTGTACCATTCCTAAATAAAATTTCACGAAACGACTTATTCTTTCAACGCTACACTAGGTAGATACTTAAAATTTATTCTGCATTATACTAAAATGTTTGTGACATAAAATAATAATATATTTCTATTAATTTTTTTTTAAATATTCAGTTCAAAAATATTATGAAGAGAACAATGAAGACTAACAGTTGTAGATTTTACACACTTTCAAGATCGATGATTTTGTCCAAGATGGTCGTTGTGATTGGCGAGACTGTGACAACCGGCGGCAAAATGTGACACGCCTTGTGAAATAGGATTAAACATTTGATCTCCTCCATTAACGGAAATTGTGAATTCTTCAGTTTTGAACGTGTCTCCGAGTGAGGTACTCGTTTACCGCGAGGCTAAAATTATTCACTAAAATTTAGACGGTACCAATATATTATCCAATCATCTCGAAAGGAACCGTTAGAAGTTTCCGTTGTAAGTGCATTTGAACGATCTAGTGTACATTTGTCATCTGCGTGCGGGAACCACTCCCGATTGGTGTTACAGTGTTTCCGTATTACTCGGTAAGTCGTTATACGAGTATTTTAAGGTTTTTATAGGCATTAAAGGTCTCTTGATACATTTTTAATACAAATCAGCAGTTGCTGTTACATCTTAACGAAAATATTCGTGTTTCGAAATCTTGGTATTACGTAGAAGAAACCCTGAACATGTTGGGGGACAGTTTCGGGCCAAAAAAGTGAATGGAATGTTATTCCTTTTAAGTCTGACATGGTATGAACCATTTAAGGGATATTAAGTGATTGTTTTATGGTCTATAGAAAAATTTACAGTATTTCCCTGATACAACTATTATAGTGTTCGTTGTGAGCTTGTTACCACCGTCCCCACCATTTCTATTTATCAATCTCGTTCTCTCTCATCTTCAATAAAACGAAAAAGAACCGTCACGGATGACCATTTCGTTATGAGCTCGACGCCGGTATTAAATTGTATGTTCATAGCGAAAGAATTGTGTATTACATTCGGTCACTGTAGTTGAAACGGACTTTTGAACGCTGCAATCTTGTATTTAGTGTATATCTTTTATCGTATCTTAATGTATTGATAAGTCACAGTACAAGTGTTGTTAATTCTTGTTAGTCTTATAGGGAGGCGGACTTGATATTGGACTTAATTATAGTCGCTATAAATTTCAATGATAATTAGGTATATCCTTTTACAATACTGTAATCATACGATATGTATTTATTGAACCGCAACAATTGATCATTTAAGACCAATTCCATGATTATATATGTTCTTTTGTACGCCTTCTTTGATAATGCAAAAAGTTATAATGTAACAGAAAATTTATGAAGTTTTTCTAAATAGACATAAAATGTTGATCATATAGTTAAAAACTATGTCGATGACTATAAACGATTAATGAAATTTTCATACATCATGATTGCTAATGAAACATTTATTAAGGAAAATGAGAGGAAGCATATATGAGTCAACAAGAATATCTCTACCACAAATAGATAATTTCTTTATTGTTCTATTTCAGACACTGGCTTAGATAAGAATACCAAGATGGCTGTTAATGTTTATGCGACAAACGTAACATCTGAGAACTTGAGTCGACATGATATGTTGGCTTGGGTGAATGACTGTTTGCAAGCATCATTTACCAAGATCGAAGAGTTATGCACTGGTGCGGTTTATTGTCAATTCATGGACATGCTCTTCCCAGGTAGCGTAGCCTTGAAGAGGGTCAAGTTTAAGACGAACCTTGAACACGAATATATACAGAATTTCAAACTTTTGCAAGGTGCTTTCAAAAAGATGAACGTAGATAAGGTAAGTGAAACACTATTAATTTCAGTGATCGAAAGCTCTTTAGGTAAATATAGTACAAACTTTTGAATAAAGTATATTATCTATTATTAATTGTAAGATTCATAATAGTATTGTTAAAGGGGTCTTTCTACTTTTGTGCTTAAATGAACAGGTCAATAGAAAAGAAGTATAATTTTTTTCAGTTCTTCCTATCATAGGGAGACCCTTTACATTTAGAACTTAATATAGTTGAACAATAACAATAGTTTGAAATATACATTAATGAAATAAGACACTAGTATGAAGGTAAGCTTCGATAATGAAACCAGACACCATGTCAATACATGGAATCATATTGCTCCACATAAAACAGTTTTGTTACATGAATTGTAAAATACAGAAAATTATAATTCTATTGTTAATAAAATGGTTCAGGTAATACCAGTGGATAAGTTAATAAAAGGCCGCTTTCAAGATAATTTTGAGTTTCTACAATGGTTCAAGAAGTTCTTTGATGCAAATTATGATGGTCGTGAATATGAAGCTTATAAAGCCCGTGGTTGGGTACCATTGGGTTATGCGGTTGATGGAACACAAAATTTGTTAAACCCTCAATTTGTACTTTTGCCCCCTCAACCGAAGTCATCAAACATACAGCAAAAGCATACACAACATCGTGACATTGCCCCCCGCCAACAGCTGGGTACAGCAATATTGTGTCAATTTTATTATGTTACTTATAGCATGCTATTACAATATTTATGAAATTCAATAAATTATTTGTGTGCCGCATAAACAATTATTCTGGCTACGTATTGCACTTTACATGTACATCTAGCTATTTTAGGAGCAATTGTTGTAAAGTAGAAAGCACCTTCAGCTTTTGCAATTTTAGTCACATATAAATGTACAGTTATGCAATCTCGATCATATAAAGCACTGTATCACTTTATTGTTCATCTATTTTAAGTGTAAAGAAATGTTCCCTGTTATACTATTGCATTATGTTTAGTCATGTACATGGAAATTATGTGCTTATTTTAAATTTACGAATATATGTATATCCAGTACATGAATCAAATTTCTAAAATGCTTATTTACTATGTACGTAGAATGCTGTGATGACTGTTATTTTTAACAGTCTATAAATACATCTAAGTAGGGGGGTAACAGATTCTTAGAGATATACGACAGACTGAATTTTCTTTAATCTTCTTATGAAATCTATCATTACAAAAGTACTTTAAGTATACAATAGTAATTTATATAATGTATCTACAGTGACACGTCTACATCTGTTACAAATACCAACTTGAAATTTAATTTTAGTTGACCTTTGTTTATTTCTGTTATTTTATTAATTTAAATGATTTATTTTGTTATTTCGTTCCACAAGCTTTTTGCTAATCATTTGCAGATTGTTCCAATTGATAGGCTGGTGAAAGGCAGATTTCAAGACAACTTCGAGTTTTTACAATGGTTCAAGAAATTCTTTGATGCAAATTACTCCAGAACAGAGCCATACGAAGCACTTGCTATGAGAGGAGGAGAATCCATGGGTAGTGGTGGAAGTAATGCACCGCACGGCACTAATGCAAAACGCACTACTCCACGTGATGTAAATCCGACTAAACCAACAGCTCGTATCGGTACATTATTTCACATGTTTTTTCTTTTATGTTGTATTTGGTTTTACACCACTAAACATAATGCAAAACCATTTTGAAGATAAGCAACGTGTAAAAACGATCGATTTAACATTGGCTTTTTTCTAATTCATAATAATTAATAACAAAAGAACGGAGTTGTCTGTCCTAATAACACAAACAAAAATTTCACTTCAGGTGAGGGAACTGCGCCTCCTGCACACACAGCTAGTACCAAGTCTATAAGCAATAGTAATTATTTATTTTTAATATTTTTATGCTTGTTTCCCTTACTGTTTCTGTTTTATTACTGAGAAGTTCAAAAGAGGATATTCATATAGAAAGATCCGTTGAAATATCGGGGAATTTTGTCAGAATCGAAAATGATTTCTATTTCTTTAAAAGTAATTTCAAAATTGCTCATCCTTTATTTAACTGCTCAAATAATTAGATTTCTTTCGTTTTATTTGATTAGTGCATGATATATAATCATTTTAATTAAATTGCATATAAAATCATTTAGATATTTTTATTTAAATTTTCTTCTGTTTCATATACCTAAAATTTGAGTGTTACAATTAGAGTGCCTAAATATGTTAATGCATGCTTCTCTATTGTTTATATTACACACTATTTTGCATAAACTGTTATGCTTCCAGTCAGTACATACATTCACATTGCTTGTAAAGTGATTATACAGTATTATATTTTTTGATCTCTTTATCACTTGTATGTATTATCTGTGCAATAGAGTAGTAAATATTACTTTTAATATACAGAAGGAATGACAAATTATATAACGTTTTAAATTTTTTAATCTAGTTAATAAAGTACCAGCGCATCGCACACCAGTAAAGACGGGTACAGTTGGTAATCGTGGAGATAATGGAAAGGTGGAAGAACTTAGTGCTCAGGTATTTTAAGAGTTATATTTACCTTCAATACCAATTCAATATCTTCGAGTAGAAAAATATAATTTATTTTCTTCTAGCTGATGGAATTGAAAATGTCACTGGAAGGTTTAGAAAAAGAAAGAGATTTCTATTTTGGTAAATTACGTGACATTGAAGTTATGTGCCAAGATTGTGATAACGGAGATCCCCCACCAATAATACAGAAAATCTTAGAAGTCCTTTATGCTACGGAGGTACAGGTTTAATAAACTTTGTGTATTAAAAAATTCTCTTTTATCATTATCACGATATTACAATGTTTTTTTTCCGACAGGAGGGATTTGCACCACCTGAAGAATTAGAAGGTGATGGACTCGCGCCTGACGATGAAGAAGAATATTAAATTCACTTTTTGTACAATCATTATAAAAAAGATTAACAGCAAATTGTCCATGTGCGTTTCAGTCTCATTACGTTTGTGAGCCAGTATCAGTACCCTTTGCATAATTAATGAAGCTACCTTGTATAGCTATTTAAGCATTTTTGCGCCTTAATTTCGTTACGGAGTTCACCGAATTCATTGAAAGTTCGCACGTAATTAGGATAGGGCGAGCGCGCGCGCGCGCAAGAGAGAGAGAGAGAGAGAGAGAGAGAGAGAGAGAGAGAAAGAGAGTGAGAAAGATGAGAAAAAGATATATGTCGAGAATGATGCACTCGAATAACTTGTACTCTACAAGTAATTATTAAGAAGAAAACAGAATTAGTGATTTACATATTTCATAGTTCTTTATCGTATTACGAATAACGGTAGAACTTTGAACATCTGCAAGTTTCAAAGTATAAGAAAATAATGAAAAAAAAATTAATGGACCCGGGTTACTTGTCCGGGTCCAGTTTGTTATACAATGATCTTCTGTTAATTATGTTCGTTCATGTGTGAGTGTTTTCTTTTTTCATTGTTTGTAAATGCACTATGTTTTTATGGATAAATAAGATAACAATCTCGTCAGTTTGTCCTTTCGTACCTCGTTGTAGTTCCCCGACAAAATGTAGAATTATATTCGTGCATAATTATAGCGCTGTTCAACTTGTTCGTGCAACATGAAAAATGCACACAACTGATTGTTAGAAACATTTATTTCCTCCGTGGAAGAAACGACGATGTATGCTCGAACCAGAAACGCATTAAATTCTAAAAGTTTTATAAATCCCATTTTTTCAATCCTCAATGTAACGAAAAAAAAGAAACGTTTTATGATCGAAACGAAGAATTGTAAACTTGGCAATAGAATGGCAATTATTTTTCTCCTTTATCGAAAATAGAATATGAATGTAACCATTGATTTTTTCCCAGTGCTAATGTCTGGAGATGTTGAAGACAGTTCGACGAGGATTGGATTTTTAGTCGATGCGTAATTGATTTGTAATATTATTGATTTGCGCGTGGCAGACGAGTGTCTTTGCATCTCCATAGTCCGTCTTTCAGAACAAGAATGGCCTTAAACGATCAACTTCCGATTACAAAAGTACGGAATACGGAGTTCGTAACAAAAATGACTCTTGTCAAAAATGACGGTGATGCGTTTAGAAGTTTCACCAAGCTTCATTCGTTCTTCTTTAACTCGATATATTTCGGATTTTAATTTCTCATGGCTGTGTAACTATTTTTGATTTCCAATAAGGTTTTACGCTCAAGTTCTATTCTTAATTGAGGAACAACATTGAAAGCCGATATTGGGTCAATTAAATTGTCGAATTTTTTGATAAGGGCGGTTTTTGTACAACGGACCCCACAATTACTAGATCAAACATAAAGTGTATATCTCCGAGCATCGCGATGATTATGAGCGTGTGAATCAGTGAGTGTCCCTCCGCTAAAGAAAAATTTCAAAACAAGAAACAGGAATATGAAAAAAATTGTAAAGTTGCGTAATCACAGTGTGTAAGCAACAACGAGCGAAGATGTTCCAACACGCAACGAATAATCTGTGCATAATTTCGCGTGCGTCGTATTTGGATGTGTGTGTGTGCGTGTGTGTGTGTGTGTTTCTCGATCGCGTCTCGGAAAATGTGAACGAAAACACGAAATCGTCGGTTCAATTACACGAAGAAAGATTGTGTCACAAAACTTAGATTCTTAAGAATCCAACCTATTTAGTAAGTAAATGCGTCTATTTTATTGTTATTATCGTTTCAATTAAGCACGTGTATACGCGTTAAGTGTCACTCTCCTAAAAACGAAAGATTCACCGCCTTTCAACTTACCCTAACGTTCATTGCTCTTTATGTGCGTATATGCGGTCATGGCGCGGATGTGCTTCAAAATTTGGAAACCAATGAGGTAATAAACGTTTAACAGGATTCAAATATCGTGTCCTCATTTTTTCAAGCATGAGCTATACTTTCTAAACCAGGATCCCATAGTCCAGATTCATTTTCGACCAAAGGTATCCCGACCTTCCCACTGGTCAGCCGGATGTAGCTTTCGTCCCGATGAGACCTGGACCTGGACCCGGAGTCCCATCAGTGCTAAATCAGATGACTGCCCCTTGCCTTCGCGGTAATTCTGCCCGTCGGAATCCAAATTTTCCAGTTTGGAAACCTGGATTCTATACTATAGACTCATTTTAAACCAAAGGTATTCCGACTTTCCCTTTGGTCAGCCGGATATACCTTTTGTCCCGATAAGACCTGGACCTGGACCCGGAGTCCCATCAGTGCTAAATCAGATGACTGCCCCTTGCCTTCGCAGCAATTCTGCCCGTCGGAATCCAAGTTTTCCAGTTTGGAAACCTGGATTCTATACTATAGACTCATTTTAAAGCAAAGGTATCCCGACTTTCCCTTTGGTCAGCCGGA